GGATTGATGCTCCAGCAACATCTTTTCTACCCTGGTCAGGTGATCCATGACGCCTATCCCAGTGTCGCCCAGGCTGGGCTGGTCAGCCAGTAAACTGTCTGCTTTCAGCCAGGCCCATGGGATAGTCAGAGCTGAAAATCAAAGAGAAATAGTAATGTTTTACCTTTCAAAATTAAGAATTCATGTTAAAATTGGGAGGTAGTATATAACAGTGGTTTACAGCACACATTTATATTCCTACACACTTAGGTTAAAATTCTGGCCATGTGACCTTGGGCTGATGCTTAACCTCTTCAAACTTCATCTATTCAGGGGGCACAAATACTGATTTCACAGGCTATTGCTAGATAAATTGAAATGAAAGCATTTACTACTTAGCACCGTACCTTGAACATGGCAAGATGCAATGAATCGCAGTGATTATTACTATTATCCTTAATTAACTCATGGCTAGATCTGATTTCTGAAGTTTTCATGTAAGATCATTATCAGTAGTACTAAGTTTAAACTTTTTCTTTCCTTGTCTTTCTTTCCCTGTTGCTCTTTTTCTCCCTACCTTCCTTCCTTTCTTTCTTTCAAAAACTCCTTTTAACCTGGAGCTGTCCTTTGCAGAAAACAAAAAAATTGATTTAAAAAAATTTGAAGTTCCCACTATGACGAGGAAGCAACAAGAGGCTTCAGCAGCTGAAAAGCTTTCCAGAAAGCTGGAGGAGAGGCCCTGGCCTGACTCAGCGTTGCCGTGGCAACAGTAGGGCCCCGAGGGCCTCAGTCCCTGATCCCTTAATCTGAGGAGCTGCCACCACAGTGCCTCAGGAAAGGTCTCCCACAGACACCTGGCTAGCTCAGGCTACACTGACTACGGAGGGATGTAGAAAAGATGGAGACGTGACTCTTTCTGTCAAAGATAGATGCTAAAAGTCTCCCCGATGGTCCCAGCTTTTTCAGATCCCCAAAGGCTTAGTTTAGAGAATTGGGCTGCGAAGTCTACATCAGATTCTAAGGCTGTCAAGGCAGCTGATGGTTTCCTAATCCTTTTGTGTTTCTCCATGGAGCCCGGCACAATGCTTCTGTACACAAGTGGTGCTTAATAAATACTGGGGGGCTATATGACAATAAGCATCCTCTGAGGCGCCAGCCCTGCTTCTTCCCTGCCTGCCAGAGTGAGCTAGAGCAGATGACCCACTCAGGGGACCCAACTTCTCTGCTCTTCATTTCTCCAACTGTAAAATGACAGGGCTCCACTCTCAGGTTTTCTCTGCCTCTAATGTTCTTTTTTATTCTCTTACTACATTCATCAATTTGGGAAACACACAGAGCATGTTCTGTTTAGTATATATCGTCTCCCCCAACTTTTATCTTAAGTCAAAAAATCTGGAGGCAAAATGGAATAATTTAAAAGAGGCACTGGTTTTCCCTTTTTTAACAACCATATAGGTCCTAGGGAAGCACATGACCTTTGGAGTCAAAGACTTCAGTTCAAATCCTGGCTCTACTATTTGTTTGCTGTCTGACTTTGGGCCTACTCAATCTCTCTGAGCCTCAAACTCTTCACCTATAAAATAGGTGTAATGAGGCCGGGCGCAGTGGCTTACGCCTGTAATCCTAGCAGGTTGAGGAAGGTTGAGGCGGAAGGATTGCTTGAGCCCAGGAGCTGGAGACCAACCTGGGCCACATAGCAAGACCACGTCTCTATACAAATTTTTAAAAATAGCTGAGTGTGGTGGCGTGTGCCTGTAGTCACAGCTACTCAGGAGGCTGAGGTGGAAGGATTGCCTGAGCCTAGGAGGTTGAGGCTGTGGTGAGCCATGATCGCACCACAATACTCCAGCCTGGGCGACAGAGTGAGACTCTGACTCAAAATAAAATAGAACAGGTGTAATGATGTACACATCAGAGTTATGAAATGATGTGTGTACAGTCTTCAAAAATAAGAAATGTTCAATAAATGGCAGTATTTCTTCTGGCACACAATGCCACGGGGCCAACGGCAAATGGTAATGTAGTGAAAGTCTGACTTTCTAATTAAGGGCACCCGAGGAGAGCACTGTGAGAGAGTACCAGAAAACCCAGTGAGGAGGGGAACCACCTGCTTCAAACTCTAGTGTGTGCTGAATTTAAGCCCTGTCCACTCTCATATCAAGTCCTTGATGTAGTTGCCTGTGTGATTTGATTTACACTTTCTCACACCAAAATAATTTTCTGCTTCTTCCTGTTGAGGAAGTTCATTTCTCACAGATTCGTTCTTTTAAGATACAACACTACTGCACTATCAACCTGAACCTCTGTTTTTACTAAGTTAAACTGTTATTAACCACAAGCTAAAATGAACTCAGTAAACTTTTATTGAGACGTTAGAATGTGCCAATGTTTTTGCTATATATTTATTATTTGTTATGTAAGCCCTAGAACGATGGGCCCTTTATTATCCTCATTTATCAGATGCAGAAATTGATGTTTGGCTAATTAACTCACTCAAGTCCACATAACTATAAAGTCTAAATCCAAATCTGTTTGACTCCAGAGGCTGTCTACAGTTCAGGGACCATCCTCTATTTCATGTTGACCTCTGACTGACAGGAGAGATTAAGGCAGATGGGAAGTAAGAATTATGATGGTGGCGGGGAGTCGGGACGAGGGGAGAAATGATTTGGAGCAGAGACTGCTAGATGCTTTGGAAGAAGAGGCATAAGGAGGGGGTCAGAGCCAAGGAAGGAGAGATAGAAAGTACAAAGAAGCCCCATCAGCCCAGCTCCACATAAGCTGTGACAGTCTTGACATTAATATTATGCCTCTTGAAAGACTTCAAATGGTATCCCAATAGAGACATAAGGGTGCACGAACCAGGCTTTTCTAGTTGCTGCAATACATGAATTCCATTAAAAAAATGTAAGTATGCATCTTTGCTTATATTTGGTTTAGTACTTTCAAAAACCAGATTTCCTAGAAAAAGCAAGTCTCTCAAGCACCATTCCCACTTGACTTCATCATGTCCTGGTAACGTCATACAACTCTCTAAGACGGATTCTACCCTGAATCACCATGGTCTCCACTCAGGTTGAAAGTCTGCAGCACTCTTTGGTCCTCCAATTCTAGGACTATAAAGACGAGGCAGCAGTAGCCCTGCACTGATTATTTCCCAGAATGCCTCTGCTAACTTCTTTGGGACTTCACATAATAGTGGTGTTCAGAAGAACAATTTTCCCTGCCATTCCTAAACCTCTGACCACCAGTTCCAGCATCTGTGCCAGTCCATGGAACACAGCTAGTTCTCCAACACTTCTGACTACTTTAGGTTTATTTGTTTTATTTATCAGATTCAGTCCCCTGCTATGTATTTGCATCAAGTCTGTCTTCTGCTCAGCAATCATCAATGGTTTCTCATACAAGATCCAATTCAAACCCTGCAGCCTTGAAGTATTAGATCCAATCTCTGTATCCTCTCTGTATCCCCAATCTACTCCAAGACATTTGACTGTTTTTCCTACACAAACCATTTTCCAGCTCAGTGGGTTTAATCCAACACTGCTCCCTAATCATACATGGAACCTACTTTCCACACTTTTCTTTCTACGACTACTCCCACCAAGAAAACCTTCCTCATTTTTCTCATCTGTGAAAATCCTCCCCATTCCACAGGCCCAGCTGATTCCACCTCCTGAGGGAAGCTGTCCTTGACTCTTGCAAGCTCTCTCTGCCCGAGGTCTGAAGCATGTTTATCCCATGCCTGGCTCTTGGTGCTTGCTGCACTACTGTGACTACCTGCTCCTGTAGGTATTTGCTCCAGCTCCCAGATGGTGCTTGAGTTCTGATAGGGACTGCCCTTCCCTCCAACCCTTCACACCAGCTCAGGCCTCTGCTCCCTCCTCTGGTTGCTGTCCCTGATGTCCTACCATTGATTTAGAAATTTTCAGTGTAAATGGAGAAGTCACATCCTTTGAAATGTGAGATCTTGGGCCATCACTTTCCCTTTCTCTGAGCCTAGTCTATCAGTCTTTATAAAAAGGAGAGGAAGCTAACAATATCCATGGTACCCTGAGAGTCAATAACGTATCACCTTCTCCCTCCAAATCCCCTTTCTCAGACCCCCAGCAAGTACTGTGTCACTTGGTAGGCCTAGTTTCAGCAGTGCTCTCCTCTCAGGGTGGTCTCTCTGCCTCCAGTGGAAGCTCAGCCTCCCCAGTTTACGTGGCTGAGCCTCACCCTCTGCTAGCCTTCATGAAATGTCCCTTCAAATGGCCTGAAATGTCTAGGGGTCAGTGCCAAGCCTCACAGCAGAGTGAGAGCGAATCACTCGGTAGGCAATGCAATATGAATGCCATTTCTCTTTCTATAAGACAGAGAAAGCTGGAGGGTGATGAGAAATGAATGAATACCAAGAGAAACCAGAGTTCCTTTATATATTCAACAAGTCTAGTTAGTAGCTTTGGTGCCACATTCATAGAAAAAATGTTCTGACCGGTGTCTTTTGTAACTTCCTCAAAGACTGGCACCAGGGACCTCTGAGCCCCTTTCCCGAGGCCACCCTCTCCACCACCTCTCTCCTCCTCCAGCTGCCTTTCAGGTTGGGCAGGAATGCTTGGGCCCTGAGGGAAGCGCCCAGCTTTTAAGACGTTCTTTCCAGCTCACGCCAAACCTGTCACTCTCCCTGACCATGCTAGTCAACAGGGACCTATTCCGGACGCCAGGGCGCACACAACGGTCTACAGCCAGGAGCTCCCACCCTTCCTTCTTCCCGTTTACCACCCCAGGCCGGTCAGTCCTGCCTCTTGTTTTCGAGTTCCTAATCGGCGGGATCCACGTCTCCTCCAACACCCAAAGGGAGAATGAGCGCAAAAAAGCGACCCCATAGAGCCTGTCAACTGACACTAAAAACACGTCCATCGGACCATCTGCTCAAACCCCTCCCCTTCATAACCAAACAAAAACGGCAAACAAGAAACGCTCATCTTTTCAAAATTACTCTATTATTATCAAATAGAACCACAGTATCCAAAAGGTAATTATAAAGTTCTATCCCCAACTAGATGGCCCTGAACCGTCCCTCCGAGTGGCCGGCGGCCAAATCACTCCCCCCGTGCTGATTGGTTTCATCCATTTTATTGTCAAGGAAATTAACAGCCCGAAGGGGTTCCCCAGGTCCGCGCCCTCCCCCGTGGGGCCCCGGGGAAACGCGGCAGCAAGCGACCCGGTCTCATTACCCCTGTGTCCTTGGGAGGAGGGACTAAAGGAGAGGGAGGCTCACAGCAAAGGGG